AGAGTTCCATTTAAAATCAAACTTCAATGCTTTTAATTAAATTTTAAAATAGGCTTTAAATGTATATCGCTATTTTATTTTTGAAAAACCATTATATTCTGAAGAAAGATTCGTAAGAGTCTAAAGAAAAATTTCGTTGAAGCGATTAATTAGATAACATTCTAAAATAAATCATTTAATTCAATCAATGTATTCTGTACAATACATGTGCGACGAATTGAATGCGACGAATTGTCGTGCGACGAATTGATCGCGACGAATTGTCGTGCGACGAATTGATCGGTCACCCATTATTCATTTACAGAAGAGAGTTTTCAGTAATTGATAATAAAATCTGGATTTTTTTAATATAGTTTGATAATACAGATATCTAAAATGTGCTGTAAGATTTCTAGCTAATGATTAGTGCTATGTATATGGCTTGTAATTCTTGATTTATATGAATACCTTAATGGTATTTTTTTTAAATGGAGACTTGGAGACCTTGAATGATTAGTTAAAGGTTTTGAAAAAATGTTATTTCTTCAAGTATCATAATGATTTTTTTGTAAGCACTAATAGCATTGAAAATTGAATTTATTCTAGAAATATCATTATCAATTGTACATGATACATGATTATTCTTGATAAATTTTGTTTTGGATTTTTTGATAATACAGTAACAGACAACAATCATCAAGACAAATGAAAACTTTTTATCTTTTTGGGATGCAATGTGACTTTATTTGCTGAACTCCAGTGTAAATTTGTAATACTCCTAAATGTAAAATGTTGATCGTCTTGTTCATAAAAATGCTTTCGAAATTCATTTTTCAATGTCAATGAAGAAATAAAAATTAGTGTAGACATTACAGTTTGAATTAGTGAAAATAAGCTCATGTTGCGGCTAATAGCTACATACAAATTTGTTGAGTTAATACCTGCAATTTTCAAATTATCCCTAAAATTCAACGTTTCCTTATAAAAATGCTGGAACTGATAATAAAAACTATGACAAAAATCTCGATGTTTTCAAATTGATAGATAACATACTATTAGGATTAAACTTCTCAACATCTGGAAGAATGCTAACTCCTACAACAACCTCCTCCCATACGTTCTTCGAACCTAGGATCAAGATCCAGATAGAATTTTCTCAGTTTTTCTTTCCACGATTCAAGGTTCCATAAGTTTAGCATTACTCTTCTCAGTATTGTAGAACTGCTTCTTCTCGAAAAAAAACTCTTTCCAGGACTCTCAAAGTATTCGCATAAGAATCGTTGAAAAGTGCTTTTTTGTTGCATATGAAACTAGAAGAGCCTTTTTCTTGTTTAGAGTATGCTAGAGAAAGATATTCTCGAAAGTTTTATCAAGTTTTTTTCGAAGAAGAAGAATATCTTATTCATAGACAACGACGATAATGATTCTTTTTCTCGTTCATTGTAGTAATTCCCAATATTCCAGCTAATGCCAGATGGGCACAGAATGGTGTGACTGTTGCTGGAGGCCATGGAGAAGGCAATGCCACCAATCAACTCTACTACCCTTATGGTCTCTTCGTTGATGATGATCAAACAATAGTCATAGCTGACAACGACAATAGTCGTATCATCCAATGGAAGATGGGTGATACGAATGGACAAGTCATCGCTGGTGGCAATGGTCAAGGCAATCGATTGGATCAATTGTATTATTCAGTTGCTGTGTTAATTGACAAAGAGACTGATAGTCTCATTATATGTGATCACGACAATCGACGAGTCGTACGATGGTCTCGTCGTAGTGGCACAACTCAAGGGGAAATACTCATCGATAATATCGATTGTCGGGGATTGGCCATGGATGATCAGAGATATCTGTACATCTCTGACTACAGAAAACATGAGGTAAGACGATATCAAATCGGAGACAATAATGGAACTATTGTGGCTGGTGGCAATGGCTATGGTGCTGGTCTCAATCAACTCAGCTTGCCGACCTACATCTTTGTTGATCAACAACAGACTGTCTATGTGTCAGACACCGGCAATCTTCGTGTGATGAAATGGAATAAAGGTGCAAAAGAAGGAATTGTCGTTGCTGGAGGTCAAGGCAATGGGACTGCTCCGACACAATTGTACGGGCCGACTGGACTGTTTGTCGATATGTCGGGCACTATCTATGTGGCAGACTCGGGAAATCATCGAGTGATGCGTTGGCCTAAAGAAGCAAAACAAGGCACTGTTATTGTGGGTGGAAATGGTCAAGGAGCAGGAGCAAATCAGTTCAACGGTCTCGTCGATTTGTCCTTCGATCGGCAAGGCAATCTCTATGTCGTCGATGTGTTGGATCATCGTGTTCAACGATTTTCAATCGAATGAACTCATTACGACGGATATTTGTTTTTCCTTTCGAATAAATTTACGTTGAACTGATGAAAGCAATGCTTATTCTATCTGCGCACGCGCGACCAGGAGGGTGTGTTATAGCTATCACGAATACCAGGTATTTTTTGATTTTGCTGACTTCTATCTTATCAAGTGGGTGTGGGTGTGGGTGTGGGGTGGGTGTGGGGTGTGGGTGTGGGTGTGGGTGGGTGTGGGTTGGGTGTGGGTGTGGATGGGTGGGTATGGGCATTGTTCTTTTCCACACTCACGTCCTTATCCACATCCCACAGTCATACCCACTCCACCCTAAATTTTCAGTGTCTAAATGCATTCGAAAACATTGAAGGATATATTGGTTCAAAATTCTATATAATTCGACAACATTGTTGACAAAAATACGTGTTTTCTTTTAGTTTTAAAATGATGTTTCCGATTGATTTTTATTGTGCATTTGATACTTCATTGTTTCAATATAAATTCCTATAATAAATCTTTACTGAAAACTCATAAAGGCTCTCCGTATACCTTTGTATTAAGACTGGTTTGTCTGTAGCAAACGACATATAATACAGTAGGAATTTATCGTTTTCTTTTTCTTGATATAAATCCATGCGAAACAATAAATTAATTGAAGGCCACCTTAGTGGACCCCCAAGACCATAATTGATTTCCTTCTGGACAATGAGACGTGTAATAACGCAGGTGTGGGTATGAATGTCAAACAGAATCATGACCATTCGAATACTCAAATCTACAGTTAACAGACACACCTGCTTCCGCGAGCACCACCACATTCACTCTCACAACCATGATCAATTTTATTTTTTTTTTGATGAAGGTTTGTCGCTATGTATATTGCTTTCTCCCCGAACGATCTTCGAAAACTTTTTGTTGTAACTTAATGAAACTGAATGATGTAGATTATGGTTTTGCTTGTTAGTTTCTGGAACACACATAATTCCCCTTTCGTCAAGCTTAATAAGCTCTACGTTTCAGTCATCCACCCATACACAATTTCATGACGCTCCTGCTTCGTGAAATTATGCCCCTAGAGCATAAACCTGACTTTCCTTCACTTATATTTTCTTTCATATTGTGTAAAGAACATACAAAGCAGCATTAAGTTCTCGTATTTACTTTGTACATAAACTTGGTTTTATTGGAGAGAAAAAAAAAACATTCGTTTATGTAACAATCGTTGAAGGCAGCCTTGTTTGTCATTTCGTTCGAAAGGGTTATTTGGCAATGTACTTTTATTTTTTTTTATTTTTCTTCCATCGTTGTAGAAAGCAAAAGAGTTTTTTTGCTTTCAAGCCTACTTTCAAGGGATTCTATGATTATACAGCCTTTATCAACACTTACTGGATGGCTTATGAATGCACAAAATCAACATTTCATGCCTCCAGCTGCGTTTTTATGACTGTTTGTCTATAGAAAAAAAATCATGCCGCCTTCCTTTTAATAATAACACCACAGTTAGTTTTACCGTCCGTTCACCAATGCAGCACATTCGTTGTAATGAAAAGTTCGATGAGAAACTGGATTTCATATACTACCATTGTTCAAATGCTAGAAAGTGACCACTGAACAACCGTATGAAAATATTTCTCTGTAACAAACTGTTTCATTTACTTCTGCCACAACCAATAGAGTATGTATACTCAATACACTATTTCTTTTCAGAATCGAAATGAAGGTATGCGGCTATTCAAGGATATTGAATTCTAACCTACTGTTTCAGTCCAAAATTGTACTTCTTTGTTGCAAAGAAGTCAAACGAAGTTGAGCTAATAAAAATCCTTTGTTTCTCATCATACATTCATATTTTCTATAGGAATTCTGAAATATTAATGCTAGCTACTCCATCAAAAATTTGCAAGTATAATGTGCTGGAAGGACATTTAAAAATAACTAAAAAATTTTTGATTTGACGGAAGTAAACGTATACCTCTCGAAACACTTCTGTTATATTATCTAGTTATTTATAGCAAGATATAAGATCAACTATAATATACCATTATAATCACTAGATTGAGAATTAGGAACGCATTTGCTTGACTTTTAAAACTTTTTCCTGAAAATTTTTTGATCTTTATATATGAATAAAAGTCTTGAAGACCTTGCTAGATATAATAAAAGAAAGTTCTGAACAATTTTTTTCACCAAAAAAATAAAAGCTGATTTATTTTAGATTGAGCATTTTTTTTTCGTCATTTTATTTCAAGAGAATAGTGAAAAAATGAGTTCTATATTGATTTTGGTCTTCTTACTGAACTTTCTCTTCTAGTCATTCTCTAATGCATACTATATGTGTATTCGGATCTTCTGTTTCGTTATTCATGCGTTTTATTGAGTATTTCATTTTCTGTTTGGTTCTCTCATACGCGAGATTCGTTCGATTTAACGAAAAACATAGTTTGTTTAAAACTTGTTATCATTGAACTATTTATGCCTCGTTGATATTCTGATGCAGCTGTCTCGGTGGCAATGGCATTTTTAAGAACATTTGCATATTAATAAAGAAAACCGTTAAAAAATAAATTAGTGAATGTTTAACAGGTAGCTTTAATCAGATTTTTCTTTGACAGACAGACAATCTTAAAAAAATATTTCCTGCTGATATAATGTGCTGCGACAGCAACTGAATTTGATAAGTATGAATTAGTTAAATTTGTAGGCTACGTGATGTTTGACAACATAGTAGAAAATATCTACATTGCTTGATTTTATTCCAAATAGATAGTAGAGCTATAAAGTACTTGATGATATTGATAGAAGTCGAGAAATTATTTAAGTCAACTTTATAATCTATCGCATTTCTGAAAATACGCCTCAACACAATATCCTAAGAATTAGTTAGAATAGATGGATATAAACTCTGTGATACAATCCTTCTGACGTTATTTTCAACTTGGTCTTAACGAGAGAAGACTTGAGATTATTTGCAAACTAATATAGAGTTAAATTATAATCTCAAAACTAAAGCAAAATCGGATTAATTGCTCCGATTATTCGCTCATAATCTGTTCTTCCAAAATGAAACATTTTCTCAGTAAATATAAAGTTTCTTTTACTTTTATCTTCCCTTCTTCTATATTCCAGAATTAGAGCAAGCAGCACAAAAATATTCTGTACGCGTTTTATTTATTCTTAGATTTCATTGAGAAATCTATTGAATGAAATAATATTAGGCACAAATATGAAACAGTACAAAAGCAAACGAGTGAATCAATGTGATCAATCAGTGATAAAAATTAATGAAAGAATCATGAATAAAATTTCAACACGAAAAAGCACGTCCCAAACTTTTCTGAATTTTTTGGCCCTTCCTAGAAACTTATAGTGAATGAAAATATTTTAGTTAAGTGTTTCATAAACAATTGATGAATATGGTAAAATTACAAATACTATGTTGAATAATTAATCCTATGTAGGCTTGTAATTTATTTTTATGTCTCTAAAACAATTTTATAGAATACTAACATTACAATTTGGAATGTTCTACAGGCAACGCCAAGTTATATCGACAATGGTAGTTTTCTTAGCCATTCAATTTTTGAAAGAGTTTTTCAAATCGTACAATAATTGAAGAAAAGAACTCAATTAAATTGTACCCAAAGGGCCTTAGGTATATGATTAATAAGATGTATAGTGAATTCATGTTGTTCCAATAATATCGCTTGATACCGAAGTGACTTAATAAAACATATTAAATGTACTTCGACAAATATCTATATAATATACAACAAAGAATGTTTCCTTATAATGATAAACATTAATATTATTAAAACCACTTGATTTTAAAAAAATAACTGTACTATTCCCAATATGACTTATGAGGAAAAACCATGTCCAAGTTCAAAAAGATCTGCATTAGCTAGTATATTTCTAACTAAGAAATTTTCTGCGCGAGTAACACAATTGTTTGTTATTACTGCACATAGATCAAGAACTTTCGTAGCTTTTCTCATTTTTGAAATATATCGTCATCAGCTTTCAATATAAATAATATAGATTTTACTTCGAAATAGAATCAATCTAACTTTTAGATTTTCTTCTTAGCTGCTGTTCTGCGCATTTTATTTTCTCGACTTTAACAACGATAATAAATGAAAACTTTATATGAACTAAAATATCTTTATTATTTTTAGATAAAATATATTTCACTTTGTTCGTCATCGATTGTTTTGTATTAAAACAAGTTCTTTCAAATTATAACAAAATCACATTGATTAATCTGATATTAGGATTGATATATAGCTAACAGATAAATTGACTTGAGATTTAGAAAAAAAAGGAAAAGTTGTTTAAAATGTGAATACTAACACTAAAAGTATATAACCGAATGAATATTGGAGAGCATGCTAGTGAGTTGGTCGCATAGAATATTTTCTTTGTATTTCACTATTAGATGTAACATTTGAAAGTGCTTGCATAGAAATATAAGTTGTTTATAATATTAATAGACAAAACAAAAATATAAATACAATAAGTTTTACATACTGACAATATTGTAGCGACGAGCATTAATCTTTCTTGTATGAGTGATGATAGTTTGAATACAAAAAGAACTGCACATATGAAAGAAGTAGTACCACATGTAACTAAAATGAGGAGAGAACAGAAAAGAAAAAAAGGAAAAGCAAAAGAAAGTAATAAAGAGAATGCGTAGAAAAGAGACATGCTAATGGTTCTGCGTACATTTATTTTGTATAGAGCTACATCATTTCAATAAGCGATATTCGATCGATATTTTAACACAATTATTGGGGAAATACTAACCAAATTTATTGTTATTTTGTTTATCAAAAAATCATCCCAATGAAAGACTTTATTGTAAAAGAGTGAAGGTTTAAGGTTCGCTGTATGTATAGGTTTTAATCTTTTATCGAAATAGTCTTTAACTTAAATCAATCATGTTTTTTTGTTAGTCATATTGATAGAGGAGAAAAAAAGCAATGTAGATCAAGGAAATGTATACGTGAAAAAAAAATTGTTTAAACGTCTGAGTAGACATGAAAAGTTTTTTACCTAATCATTTTAGCTTTTTCAAAGACTCCTATTTATCATATACATCAATCTACTATTTGCTTTAATGATAATTTGCCTATAAAGCAATAGTGTTACTACTTTTATATTTATGCAAATATTTGATCGCACACTAATGAACCTTCTTGTTCTAAGTATTAATCATAAATGTGAGTTTTTATGTAGTAGACGATTTTATTATATAACATCCAGATCAGTTGTAAAAAGCTGGATCGAAATCACTAAGAAACATAACTCAGAGGTAGTCCAATATCTAAATTGGACATTTCTGATCATTTGTTTCTAAATATCGTCCATGTTCACTTTAAGATTTATTGATAGTTCATTTAGATAGTTAATGTTGGTATATTTACAGATATATCGTTTTGCACTTCTCGATAGATTGGTACAATTCTTGTGGAAAATAGACATTTCGGAAGACATTTCTCTTATTCTAACATCACTATGTGATTGATCTTTACAGTTTAAGAAGAACGAATTATCCACGTAGTCTCTTCAGTGTCTGTCTTCTCCATTTGAACATTCGAGTTTCATAATACAATCAATATTTCATTGCATTCGTTGCCAATTTTCACTTCATATTCCTTTCAATAATTTATGAAGGATGAAGTGAATTGTTCACGGTAGAAACTATAATTCTTCAGTTATTTCGTCTTTACCTGATAATACTTTATTGTCACTTAATTATTTGTTAAATAATTGTATCCATCGTGGATAAATGCAGGATAGATACAATCACAAGATTTTATCGTTATGATCATATATACCACTGGATTGCTTTATAGTTTCTATGGTAAAGCAACATTGAATTCTATTTCTCTTTTTCTTTCAATTTTCGTTAATTTTTCCTTAGCCGCTGCGATAAAACATATGTACGAAACATGTTCTCGCATGTCAAAACAAGAGACCCTTGATTACTATGTTGTAGTGCAATGAGCATGCACAATTACCCCTAATGTTCAAAAATGTAACAGCAGTTTTGAAGATAAATGGATGTTGTCAGGCATAGTTGTGTTATTATTTTCCCCATTTCCTTAGGACTGAACTTCAGAACCTATCAGCATACTATTCGTATAGAAATTGTACTACTAATTTTTGATCTCATGAGTTAACAAAAAGTATATGTTCAAAGGAGAAAGAAAGTACTAACAGATTAGATAATCATTTAAAATTACTGATTCGCGTTCCTTGACCGACGTATAACTTGTGTTCGTTACTAAGGATTAGTTTCAAAGCTGATGAAGAGATCAGCAATATTATATTTACTGAATTTTCTTTATTTCATGGAAATTTTTGCGATTCATCTAGCGATGGAAAGTTTTGATAATTCCGACAAAAAGTAGATCATCAATTAATAACTACATATCGATGTAGTTTTCTGGATTCTAAATCTCAAGCAACAGTGCATTTTTACATTCGCATAATATTGTGCGCATTTGAATACAGTTTAAATTTGTTAGTAGAATAAGTTAATCGATGGTCGAATAAAAGTATTAAAATTAGTCAACGATTATTAATCGAGATGTGACCGAAATCAAGACTTGCGTTATATTTTCTTTTAAAGTAGTTATAGTAAAATAGAAAGTCATTTGATTTTGTTCGTATGTACACTTTATTTGTTTTATAACTGATTCAAACTATATTTTTGACTTAGTACATATCGCACTAGTCAAGTGAAGCAGTCTACTATATATTTAATCTTTATGACTTCAATCGTTATATTTCGAACTGCTGTTGATCGTTTGCTTGTCCATTCTACTAACGAAAAATTCCTAGCTTCAAAAATTAATTCATGTAAATTAAATAAATCAATAGAAGTCGTGTAAAATGTGAGCATTTTGCGTTAATGATTGAAGAAGATTCTCATCATGTTCCACATTTACTGTCATAATAGTACATTCTTGGTTGCAAACAATATTGTGGTTGCTATTCACCAATTAAGGTTTAATCATCCATTTCTCATTTACTTTGACTAGATCAGGTGGAACAAAAATAATTGTTTGCCATATTTGTATCGATTAGTTGATTGCTGATAAAGGGTAAAAATATGTTTCTCAATGAATCATGAAAGGTATTCATGAGACGAGAATACGAGTAGTATGTAAATGAGCAAATAAAGCATATGGTATTTCTTTTCATGTTTTTAACTATTCACATCAATGTCCTAAAGTTTTAATTCATGTCTAAATAATTCCTCGACTTTTAAAGATCATTAATTGTCTATCAAGCTGAAGATAATGGAAGATCATAATAAAAGCTGTTAGCGCAATCCCTTGCGGGATTAAAAATGTGAAACACGATGGATCTGCTGCTACTAATTAAATGGAAATCGTTTTGTTCCATTTCTTTGCAATCCATTTGTAGCGAACCATTTACCTGATGGTTTAGAACTACAGTTTCTCTGTCACGGTCTGTGATGGGTCTAAAGCCTGTTTGTCAGGGTCTGTGATGGGTCCAAAGCCTGTCTGTCACGGTCTGTGATGAGTCCAAACCCTGTCTCTCACGGTCTGTGATGGGTCACGTGAGTATCTGTCACGGTCTGTGGGGAGGGGGGTGCAAAATTTCTACCCTATATACTTCAACACTCCTTTCAGATCGTGTTTCCCAAAACGGGAAAAATGAATATGGAAGATGTATATGCTCAACCTGAGCAAGTGAAAATTACTTTCAATGATACAGAGATGAATGATCGACGAAATATTAGAAGTATCTATGCCGATAACCAAAATAATTCATCGAACATGTTTGATATGGAACGTTCGAACTTGAATGGAAGACAAATACTTGATCCAAGACAAGTGGCAGTGGATTTAAAGAATTTTGAAAACACACCATTTAAGCTTATGACAAAAAATCGTCGAGTGGTAGAAGATACTATAGGGCAACAAAATCTTACTATTACGAATATCGTCAAATATATCGGAGAAGATAGTCGTCTTGTTGGATATGCCGACGAGGCATTGTTACCACTTCATGAAGCATGTGCTCCGTTAACTAAGATTATTCATAATATATCGTCCTACGTTAAATTGGCATTGAATGAAAGTATAAAGCAACCAGTCAATGGGCTGACGACCGACGAGAGTGCTTCAATTCGTCTCTACATGATGGAGTGGGAAGCATCACATCAAAGTCTCTATATGATGCTCAATTATGCACTTAACACGACTACTCGAGAGGGTGTTCTGCCATATTTCAAGTATATCAAACTGTTCTTGACTGCTCTTATCAAGCTACCATCTGCTTCATCGCAGATCGTGTGGCGAGGAGTAAATGAAGATTTAAGCAAGAAATTTCTACCTGGTAGCATCATAACATGGTGGACATTTTCATCATGTACAGCTACAATGGCTGCACTCGAAAATAACATCTACTTAAATACTACTGGAGTACGAACAATTCTCGCCATTGAAAATATCAATGGTCGCGTCATAAGTGCTCAGTCACATTCTCCGAACGAAGATGAAACTCTTCTGCTGCCTGGTACTCAAATGGTCGTTCAATCACAATCAAGTCCGGCACCAAATCTTCACATTATTCATTTAAAACAAATAATACCTGACGAAACTCTTCTACAGCCTCCTTTTAAAGGTATATTAAAGAACTCTAAGCATATCTTTTCAATTAGTATTTTTTAAATATTTAGATGCATATCTTTATCCAAAAGTTAGGTAAGTCTCTGAATGTCTTCATCTATCTTCTACTTAGTCAGAGATTTTCATTAGATTTACAAGTCGACCGCACTGCAAGAAGGAAATCATCATTCCAATTTGCTTATTGATCATAATTATTATTATAGCCGTTATTCTTGGCTGTGTTTTTGGGTTAAGATCGAACAAAACGACAGGTAAAATACTTTTTAATAGATAAAGAAGTAATGAGCGAACAATATTTTGCTTCATAAAACCTATTTCTATTTGTAGTAGCTAATTTATTAAATGAAAAATGTTAATTGAAACCGAGATTGAATACTATCTTGTTAGCCTTGACCTATCCAGTTTGAGATTATATAATACACCCTATCTATTTTTCTTTTATCTTGGCATTATCATCAATAACATTTGACTTTGACGAATTTGAATCTGTTGAGTTCCTCATAAAGAGAAAACAGGATGCGAGAAAGCAAATTTTGAAAAATATTCATCATCTTCAATTACTGATTGATTGAGATTCTCGAAAAATTGACTTCTGGAAGAGGTTTACCAAATATACAATCTATCAGAAGTGTCTCAAAAAGAAATTCATCAAATGAATCTACCTTACATAAAAGAATAGAAGCGAATTTAGCTATAAAAGTTAACAGTGTACGCACGATACATGTAATAGTGCATATCTTCTAAGTTAATTCGCTTTTTACGAACAGTTTATGAATGATGAACACGCCTTTAGTATGGTACTGTGAAGTAACTTTTTCTATAAGTGAATCAATCAACCCAGTGATTCACTCCTACGAAACATAAATTACACACAATAAATTCATGGGTCTGATAGAGTCGTCCGACGTAAGCATGAGACGTTATCATGATGAGTCCATTTCAGACTCATTAAAAATTTTAAATGTATATATGAATGTGTATTCGTCATGCTTGAATTGTATATGAAATCTCAAGATCATACATTGATGGTTTCTTCAGTTCACATACATTTTCAGTAGTTTCCATCTGACAATTCTAAAAAAAGAATTCCTTGCGATGAATATATGATATATTGATAGTCCGTTGCTGTTACCATTATGTAAGTGTCGGTAAATTCTTCCATGACCAATTACTTCCTGGCATTAAGAACAATTCGCTCCACTACTCCGAAGACACGAGTACATATAATGGCTTTCTTCAGATCTCAAAGACTAAATGAGCTTAAATACTATTGTTGTTCATTAGAATATGGGACTCGATTCTCAGTGCACGTTGGGAGCCATAGATAAAAAAAGACATTAAAATTCATTTAGTTCTTGAGATATAAACCAAATGAAAATGTTTACTTGATTTTCAATTACTATTTTTATCATCGGTTTCAATTAATAAATATTCATAGATAGCAACCAGATTTATCACTATAAACAGTTACTAATTATTATTTAGCTGAAGTGAATTATGGCGAAGTAAGAAAGTCTATTACTGCTTTACTGAATGAGTCAGATTACGACGACGGAAGCTATGGCCCGCTATTTGTTCGTCTGGCTTGGCATGCAAGTGGTACATACTCTCGTGTGGATTCAACTGGTGGCTCCAATGGTGGATGTATACGCTTAGAACCTCAAAATTCTTGGGAGGCTAATAAAGGTAAATATCTTCATAACTTTGTCCGATATCTCCTAAAATTTCGGACAAGTCTTTGATTCCAGTGAATGTAAAATATCGAATGTGGCATGAAATTTTAAGAGAAAAATCTTGCAGCTACTGAGCAATATGTTTTACATAGAAAAAGATATTACCTAAAGAATAGTACACTTCATCAAGCAAAGAAAAAAGTTAGGAATGTGAAAGACTTCTCTATTGGAGTCTTAATTCAAAACAAACATTCCAGACGTTACTATGAAATTCTTATTCAATATTTTTTTAAAGTCGGTAAAATATGTGAAACAGTATTTATACTATGAAAAATAATTCTTTTAAATGTTTACTGTTTTTTTTTTCTTCAGTTTTTCAGAAAAAGAAGAATGTTCTTAAACATTCAGAACTAAAACTCATTAATAATGTTTCATTCGCATTCACCTTGTAGGTTTGAATATAGCAAGAGATCGTCTGGCAAGTGTTTATCGTGCTTATCCTGGCTTAACCTATGCAGATTTGTACACGTTAGCTGGTGTTGTCGCCATCGAAAATATGGGCGGCCCAATCATCAAATGGCGAAGTGGACGGGTTGACTATAGCGATGGGAGTAAATCACCACCTGGCGGTCGTTTACCAGATGCTTCAAAAGGGGCTCAGCACATTCGAGATGTTTTCTATCGAATGGGTTTTAATGATAGTGAACTTGTTGCTTTGATTGGTGCTCATTCTATGGGACGATGTCACATAGAGCGAAGTGGTTATGACGGAGACTGGACATCAAGAACGACTACATTTTCAAATGATTTTTTTCATCTTTTATCGCAAGAACAATGCGAGGAACGTAATTGGAATGGTTCAAGACAGTTCGAAGATGTGAGATCACGAAGTTTTCTGATGTTACCAACTGATATGGCGTTGTTTCAAGATCCTGATTTTAAACAATATGTTCTAGATTACGCCAACGATCAAAATCTTTTCAGCAAGAATTTTGCATCTGCCTTCGGGAAATTATTAGAACTGGGAGTAAACTTCCCTAAAAACAGTTGAATTTGTCTTATAAGAGTGAACAATGAAATCACAGCTATTGACATATATTTTGAACGCATAAAATCAATCTTTTAGTCTTAAATTTTCATTTTCAACAATCGATTTAATCACATAATAAATTCGACAATGAATAAATTGGTTTGAATTTAAAAAATCTTAAACAAAATACAGCTGCTAGTTTTGTTACTTCATTTAGTACTATCTATTGACACATGAAAAATTTTACAAGAATTAAAAAAGAATAAATGAGCTAAGATGATCAGCAAGCATCTTTGAAAAATTGAGAGAACATAGAGTTCAGTTAGAATAAGAATCAGAATAGAAGCTATAATAACCTAATAATACGTGATTAGTATCTTAATGACACATTGCCACATAAGGGTTTGGTTTGGAAGACTGATGGACAATTTAGAAAGTAAGATAAAAAATTCACATATTCGAAAGTACGTGTATGCATCTCAGAAGTTCATCAATGTACTACTAGTTGATACAGAAATAAATATGTAGTGAACAGTGTGATTATCT